GTACTGATCAATCATAAAAACAAGAACATCCTTTAAATAAAAGTGCATAGTGAGTAATTTAGTTTATAATAAAAATCGGCAACCATTCCCTTATGGGAAAATCCGAATCCTTCTTTATTTTGACTAAAGAAGAGTTGTGCAAATATCAGCGCGAGATTTTTCGAATCCATTTTATTACAACTTTTGTGCACGGAGATGGTGTGCAATAATTCTAAGAGTTGCTTAACAACAATGTAGTAATCCACGGGAAGTTGCTGCAACGCATCTTTGAGGATTGACGAGCGTTCCTCCTCGCTCTTTGCTAGAGAAAGAGAAGCCGAGAGTATAACAGGAATCAGTTTCGCGGGAAACAACGAATGCGGAATCTTCCGGTAGAAAAGCTTTAACAGAGATGCCACGTCGTGAACCGTACAGTCAGCAAATAACTCCCATTCTTGGCCGTAGGCAAGGCCTACAAACAAATATATACTGCTTAAAAAACTGCAGAAAAATAAAATTTAAATTTTTAAGTAATTAATTAATTAGAAATTATTTACTGTAGACTTGAACTATTTACTTTAATTTTTTTAAAAAATTTAAATATAAATTTAGATTCACTTCTAGCAGAATTATATGGGAACGGGAGAGTATGCCAGTGTTGTTTATTAGAAAAAAAGTTTTTTTTAAGGAAACAAAAAAAACCCTTAACACTAACGATAATAATTTTGCAATAAAAAAGATTTCAGTATATGCATATATAATAGAAGGAAGTTTGCAAGGTGTTTATTTTAAAGTCAACTAAATCATAGTTAATTTTTATAAAAAACAAAATATTTACCTGTTTTAAATTGTTCTTCCAGCTCTTGAACGACTGACAAGGAACCTGGAACCCGAAATATTCCTTCAGTTTCAACTTTGTTTTTAAATTAAAATATTTAAGTCTAAAAGTAGTTTACGAAAGTACAGCACGATAAGTGTACATAGACATTTTAAACACAATTCTTGTTTTCGTAAAATGTATTTTTTGGTCTAATAATAAAGAAAACCTTGTTCCTGGATGAAATCCACACACACATCTAAGAATCGATAAACCCCAGCATGGAACTCTTCAACTTTTAAAGAAAAAATTGTTCTTTTTAATAACAGCGACTTGGTCAAGCACCTTCCTAAATTTTTATCTTTTAACTCTTCAAGTCTATCAACATGTGTGTTATGTAAATTTTTTCCTAATCCCTTTAAGTTTCCAACACAAACCAGATTTTCTGAAAAGGAACTTGCTTTTTTATTTTCGTGGTTTAGATAAGAAGCTTCCTGTAAAGAAGGAACCTTTTCTGAAAAAGACATTTTTAAAGTTAAAGTTTCATTTAACAGATATGGAAATAAAGAGCTCCGCTACTCATTTTGTTTAGAGAAAAGAGAAAGGGTTTTCAAAAGCAATAAATAGTTGGTTATAATAATGCAATGCCTTATTGGTTGTTTTTAGCCGTTTAGAAATATATTTAACAAGTATTTGGTGCGCTATTTTACTAGAAACGTAGTATGAGTGGTTGAAAATAAAACAGATTATATAAAAAGAAAATTTAGATACGGTGTATACGGTAAATAACTAAGCATTTATAATCTTGACCTTTCAAGTCTTAAAGTCTTACTTTCAGTGATAAGCTTTAATATTTGTACATGCCTTTCTTAATTTGCATAAAGTCAAGATGAGGAAGTTTATGTTAGCCTAGTAAAAATAATAGGGCTTATATTTAAAAATACTGTCCCAGAAATTTATTTTGCACACTAACTGGTCAAGAAGGTGAGTTGGGTATATTTCATATAACCGAACAGAGTATTTTACATGTATAGCTAATAATTCCTTGTCCCTATAAAATTTGCAAAGAATAACAAAGCATAGAGAATTTCTTACATATCCTCAATTTGGAAAAGATGCTTCTAAAAAGCGTTGAAGCAATAAAAATGAAGATTTGCGAGGTTTTATATGATATATCGCTACAGCATTTCTTTTGGGGGTTTTTTATCTGCAAAAGCAAAATAAAGGTCTCGAGTACTGTTTGTGGACCATATTCTGGTACGTACTTCCTATTTATTGCTTATATTTTCTATTCTACTTAAGGTGTACTAAGATATGTTCGAGAGTAAAAAAAAGTATTACTTGTGACCTTATTCTGATAAGTACGTTCTATTATCTATTGCTTATTTTTTTCTATTATACTTAAAGTGTGCTAAGATATGTACAAAAGTGTGTCCAGATTCCTCTTGCTAAATTATCTCTTACATTAACTACCCTTTTTTTCACACTAATCTCCCCTTGGGGACTTTCCTTCTTTAAATTAGGTTCGACAATGTATAAGGTGTAAGTACGGATGTTTTATTCCTTAACCCACAAACTTTACAATATTGTAATAATTATAAAGAAAATTTCGCAGTCACGTTGGAAATTTAGATAACATGCAAAACTTAATTATCTTCCAATGTTTCGTGAGATTGCTCTGGAGCAAAAATTTGCGCAAATGTAGTTATGTAAATTAAAAATTTAGTTGCATATGTTACAAATTTTTATCTTTTCCACGTTCTTTTACCAATTATTTAAAAATTTCATTCGTTTTAGCCGAAGTAAGCCGGTTATTTAATTATGTCTTTTATGAAAACGTATTTTTTTATTAAAATTTAAATATCTAACTAGAATAACACAGGACCTTACGGATTGGTTCTCCCTTGAGCTTCTTAGTAAAACTAATAGTAATAAGTTAGTTTTAGTGATATAACGTTCTATTATTATCATTTTTGGTTTTTTCGTATTTATTCTCTAATGCTTGATTATTTATTACACTTAAAAAGATATATAGAGTAAATCAGTATTGTTATAAATACTCATTTCAGTTGTAACTTCACAAATCTGCCGTACATTTCTTAAATCATTTCAGCGTGATGGCCGAGAACCAACTACATTTCATGCAATACCACCAGCCTACATTTTATGATAGCAAACACGTCCTCCTAAATACTAAGAATAGATTTCAAATAGTCTGTTAAAAACCATCATAATTTCTTTTTCTAAGAACTATGTGCAAGGCCACAACGACCGCTACACCTAATTAATAAGCGGATTCCTGCCTAAAATGTAACAAAGCTCAATGCCGTTACTTTAAGATGCTTAAAAAACCCTTTCCAGATCTGCTATAATACAAACAATTTTTGTGCAATAATTACGGACTCTTAAAAAGTATTACCATATAAATTATAATTCATCTCTCATGATAAAATTTGTTAGATTATATACTATAACTACAGAAAATAAAGGGAACCAATATTTTATAGTATCATTTGTATAGAGGTATTATAATTTATAATTTAAAAAAGGCATTTTTACTTTGAAAGTAAAAAATGTATGTTGATACAATACAATTTAATATATTGTACAAGATAATCAGGTCATAATGCAAGACTAAATCAGGAGTATATTTAACTAAAGAATAAAAACAAACCGTAAAGAGAACAATAAATCCAAAAGTAACTAAGTACAAACGAATACTTTGAAGATATGATATATGAACTAATAGGTTTTAGATCATTTCGAACGAGAAACAACAGGTCAAGGCAAAAGTACTAATATTTTTTTGCTAAATTGTATAAGCGAGAGAAAGAAGGAACGGTGTAAGGCTCTCAGTTAGTAAAGAACTTCCGTCTCACATGAAAGCTATGACCTTTTTAATATTATTAATATTGTTATTAATTATTGGTGTCCGGTGTTTCTTGGTGCTTGATTGGGTCAAAAAAACACATCGAATTTACGGTTTTTTAACAGGGTGACAGCGAACAAATTAGGTTAAGGCTTGCGTTAAAGCACTTTTTTAGTCCCTGGCCCTATTTAAAAGTACAACAAATACTCAAGATCCATTGCCCTGTCGGTGATAGTGTGCGCCCTCCCATAGTACGTAACTAGGTTTTTCCTCTGGTATTAGATTTACGGCCCTAATCAGGCCATTCATAGGTGTCAATAGCGTTGCGTTGAAAAACTCTCCAAATTTCTTGTAACAAACTTCTTGGTAAGGTTATCGTTTTGAAAAAATCACGGCGGCCCGTAATTAGAAGAAGCGAATTGTCTTATCATGCTTAAAGCGAAAAGATTATTGTCATAGAGTCATAGTCCCAAGAAGTAGAGGTGTATGTCATGATTGATCGGGTAATACACAACCCATACAAGCATCTTTCGTTGTGCAACGAGAGTTTGCTTCTTTCACACAGTAAAGGATAAAGAGTTTAAGCCGCCGCCTTGACCTTGTCCGCGTTATAGTTTACGTGCAGTCCCCCAGGAGCCTACTGGCAATGTGACATCTGTCCAAGGGATAACCTGACCCTTGAAGGGCAGTGGCGCTGTTGGCGCAGTGCTCCTCGGTAAAAAGGATTTTCCTTATTTTAAAACACCAGCTACCAAAAGTCACTAGGTAGATGTTCAGATACTGGCGCAAAAAGATAGGTTCTAGGTCGTAACGCACGTGAAGTGCAAGTGGTAATGGGAAATATTTTATGGGACCCCTGTTGTTAGTAGGTTTAGGGGTGTGAATCGCTTTCACTTGTATAAAAATGCGACTTTTAAGGTGAAATATGATCAGTAGTGATGGCTATGACTCGCAATTTGCGAAGTAAGTTATCAAACTTGTTTCATCCAATCTACTAGGCGGAGAAGCTGGTGTATCGTGAAATGTCCTTTCGGCATCCAAACTGAACAATGGCAGGGCTTGCTTGCATCAATAAATGTTAGGCTACTTTGTCAAAGACTGACAAGAAGCCAATAGATCTAAGTTTTCTCGACGTAGAAGCTGATAGCGATGTCTTTAGGAGCGTCACAATAGTTGCCGTCCACCATCGCAACATAAAGCGGTATAGAGACCCACTGCCACCATCGCCACTTGTCTCATTATTATAGCCTTGGTGTTTTGATAAATAACGCTTGGTGTTATTAGCAACCCTTCTGATCATTAATTGAGTTTATTTTGTTTAATTGGTTGGTTTTGGCTGGAGATTTAATCAATTATTAAATCCGCAGATTAAAATGAACAATTACAAGGCAAAGAAGCGCGAAATAGGAAAAATCCCTTAAATCTTTCATTAAGTGTACATGTATAGATATATGGCCCGCCAGTGCAAAAATCATACTATTTTTAATTAAAATGGCATTAATTAATTATCTTTTACAGTCTTTTAATCTAAGACATGCATCATAGCAATTTATAAAATTTTAAGCCTTCAAATTACCGAGGAATCTTTAAAACAGTTGGTATTATTGTCGGGTGCGGATACTATTAGAATTTATGAGGACGAGGTTAAATACGCGACCACCAAAGACCTAAAAAGAGAGTCGCGTCCGTGGTAATTGGACCCACAACCTTGAGTATGCGCGTCAATGCTCTTAACTGCTGAGCTACGACGCCACCTCTCGATCCCGGTATGATGGTCATACGTAGGTAACCTGTTATGTACTATGTCTCGGTAGAGCTCCAATGATCTTTATAATTTCGACTGTAGTGGCTTGGCTTCTGCTCTTCGTCCTCAGTGAGGACTTTGGCTCACCATCTACTACATCTACATCATAAAAGCAGATGACAAACACTGAAAGCGAACTGATAAGCAAAAAGTGTTCTTTGTCCAAGTCATCCTCCGTTTTAAAAAAAAAAGTCGCTGTTTCAAAAGAGTAGGTAGTGATAAAGGCGCTCGGTTTCTGTATTTCTTTAAAGCATTTGTAAAGAAACGCCACCATTACCGCAACCCTTAGAGATATGGCTTATCTTTGTCTGCGCAAACTATTATGGTGCCCAAACAGTAACGCAAAGTGTGTATGACCTCGGAAGGGTTAGCCTAGTTCGTATAAGTCCTCCGTCGCTAAGCTTAAGCAGAACTAGCAGAGGGACCGGGCAAAGTTCTACGGGATTCTAACTTCCCGTTAGAGAATATGAAATTTATTTTAAAATTGGTAGCATGTCTAATCTTTGTTTAAGTTCGCGAGGATTTGGTCGTTTGGCTTCGACACGACTGTTCCAAGAGGGATGCTTGCAATTTAGGTCCCCACATATAACACAGGGGTAATTTTACAGACAAATCCGAGGTTTTCCGTAGCTTGCTGGGGGGTTAAAAAGCCGTAATTACCGACACTGACCCGTGACTAACCCAGTAGAGATAAACCCCATCGGCCTCAATGGTTTGCAGGCTGGCAAAAACCTCACACTGCTTTCCTCGCATTAGAAAACTGCGCCTCCATCACTTATTAAGGCGGTCCTGGTTGTATGTCGAGAAGTCGCGAAATGTGAACGGGACAGGGGGAGAAAAATGTATCTAATAACACACAGGTAGATTCTTTCTGCATAGATTCTTGCAACTTACCTTTTCCCGGATAGAACACCATCTAACTATTCCAAACACCGTTAGCATGTGTGCTATCAGCATAACAAGCAGTAGCCGTAGTGTTTGTTGCTGTTGTTATTCATGGAGTTGTGGGGGATTCATTGTTAAAACAAAAAGAGCTGCGATCGAGATTTTCGAAATTACGTTAGTAGAAGCGGGCTTTTGATTAGTTGGTAGTGCGGTGTTAATTGATGCAAGTCTTCGCGGATAACGTCGGCAGGTACGACTACCTCGTACGTTTCGTGGCTCTCACCATTCAACCCCTCTGGAAACAAAGAGCAGAAACTTGCACTGTGCTCGAAGGCCTGGCAGCGGTGGTATTGTACGACCCTGTTGCTCTTTCGAAGTGCCTTCACTCTAACTCGAAGATAAAAAACCTTTCTTAATTTTTAGCTTTGGTCAAGTACTTATCGATATACGCACCAGTACCATTGGGAAAGGTCTTTACCATCGGTATGCAAGTTTCTGGGACGGTGAAATCGCATTAAATGCTACGGAGGACAAACTTTATAGGCTTGTCTTCTGGTAATTGATAGGTAAATGCGGTAGCGCTTCGTCTCGCATAAGTGAAGTGCTGGCACGGTAGCCGTCTGCTGTTGCTTGGCGTGTTTCTGGGTCAGCGATGACCTCTTCAAAGTGAATTTTTTATTTTGATATGGGTTAACTAAAATTATTAGGCTTTAAATAGTATTATTCATCCTCATCTATTACATCACCTTATTTTTTTTAAAACGTGTTTTCAACTTTTACTAGTGTTGGCAATGAAAAAGCCTTGAATACTTTGAAAACTACCGTAGAAGGACTGGAAAAGTCTTTGCAATTTGCGCACGACGTAAGCTCCCTTTTTTTAAAAAATGAAAATTTTCTGCACTATTTTTTCTTCTCTCTTACTTTCGAGCATTTAATTCTATGTACTCTATTGTTTATAAAAGCGTAAGGAACATTTACTTCACTTAACCTAACTTTCTGTGTTATCTATATTATAGTCCATGACCAGTACTGTTTTGCAAAGTACTCAAATGGTTGGCGTTATGAATGACTTGATGGAAACGCTTCTTCTAAATTGTTTATCCGTAGGTACCTTATATTATTACTTATAAGTTCTAATTATTTAGTTTTTTTTAACTTGGAGATTTTCTATACTTTATTATAATATAATTTTTTTTTTTGTATAAACTTAATCTCTTTGTAGTATTGAAAGTACGAACGGGTTATACTGCATTGTTCTTAGTTTACGCCCTGTGAACTAATAAATATCTTTTACTCGTTATGGTTATTTTATAATTTAGCCTAGCCTTCTTGCCTTTATATTTATTAATTATACATGGAATTTTAATTTTACTATTTACGCACCTTCTCAATGTTTTTGTCTTTGAAGCGCTTTTGATTTATGTTTGTTAAGCAATCTTTTTATGATTCACTTTATTGGCAGTTCTAAGTAAATAAATTATTTTATATAGTCTATATACAGAAAAAGTTTTACAACTATTGCTGTCGTTTTTCAAGCTTTGATAGTAGAGAGTTTTCCTTATCAAATTTTATACAATTTTTATTTAAAAAGAAAGTGGCTTAAGCTTAACGCACCCAACCTACAAAGAAGTGAAGCATTGACGCATGTTAACCGCCACTAATTTTTCCAGCTTTTTAATAATTTAGTTCTACTGCAGTTGCAACGCTTAACTAAAATTTTGAGAGCAATTTAGTGTTTAATTTAAAACATCTTTTAATAGTACTGCTAAGAAACGCGAACAATTGATAATACTTAATTTTCGTAAGTTTAAAATTTAGTTGCAGTTTTATTAAGGTTATGAATTTTGTATAAAAGGTCGAGCACTTGATTTAAACTTTTTGCTGTATCTTAAACTTTCCCTCTTCTGGGTTTCATGTTTTTTTTAACGCTTTGTATTATTATCTTTATAAGCCTTAAAGGTAGAGAGACGCTCAGGTGCTGTTGTTTTAACGGGCCGGATCAGCAATCAGGGCTGCTTAAAATTACTGAATCTTTCATACAATCTTTCTCTTGTTCAAAAGTCTCTTGAGCGGAGTTGTCCCGCTTTTTTCTATGAAGTCGGTTTGTACTTTTTTATTTGAAATTAAATTGAATGTTGTTTTTTTTTAAGTTTCGCCAGCCGTGCATTCCAACACGAATCGCGGACAACACCTTTTCTTTGCTTCCATCTTCAAATTACGATCTTGAATTTGAGCTGCATACTGAATTTCTATTAGAATCCGTATTTTTTTTTTTTTTTTTTTAAATTTTTTCTCACTTTATTTTTACAAAGCATACGATAGTATTAGAAATTTCCGTTCCTTCTCCTTCAACTTTGAAGATTCTGAAAAAAAATTACGACTGCGAGCTTCCTTTGCTTGTACAGGTACTATAAATATAGCAAAAAACTAGGTTAAGTCTGAATCTACACTTTTAGTGCGACGCTCAGCTACTGCAGGACACTGGCGGTAATTATGAAGAGACCAAAACTTGCAAAGTTGATGGTATTAACTGGTTTCTGTTTATTTGATTTACTCGTTATAAAGTATTTTATAAGGAGACGTTATTCGAAAACTTTTCAAATTATCTCCTTTTGTGGCCTTTCCTTTAGACGCCCTATACGCTTTTCGCTTCAAAGTGGGCGACCTTACTAAAAAAAATTTGCGTGTTTTAAATCTATAATTTAAATTTTATAAGGATGACAGTGATGTTGTGCTAAAGTTAAGGACAGCCGCCGTTTCAGAGGACTTTGAATTTTTTGTAGTTGAATCAAAGACTTGCTTAAAGAGAGCTGCTGGCCTTCTTTCTGAGCTCGAACAGAAATCCTTAGTGATTGTTTAAATTGTTTTGCATGGCACGTTTACGTCACCACTGTTTTTTTGAAATAAATTGTAAGCGTACATTATAGTAAAGAATAGATTTATAGTTTAATTTTTGGTTAAGATGGGATGCAGAGTTTTAGATTTGCTTGTAAAAAAAGTGCAAGCTAAAGCGTTTACTTTGCTAAGATTATTGATTCCGCTTATTACGGATTAATTTAGATGGACTTATTTGTTTCGATCATGCGGTTTACCAGTTAAAAAGTGGAGAAAAAATATAAATTGCTAAGATTGAAAATTCTTTAAGATTTAATCATCGTGTTTTATTAAAAAAAAATAAATAAAGTAAATACTAACTAAAGTTTATGGGATGTAACTGAGCCCGATTTTTCAATAAGCGATGTACTAATTAATATTTATTAATCTACATATGTTCATTTATTATATATCTATTACTTTTACGTCAATTTAGAGAAGTTCTAGAAGTAATAACATTATTGTTAGTATAATAAAATTTGAAAAACTTTAAGATTCTTACAGTAATACTAAAAAAAGATTGAGAAAATATATTTAAGCGATTTATTGATTCTTTTTAAAAACCTTTTTATCATATTCGATTTATGGTTTATCATTTATCGATTAAGTTCATGTTCATAACACTTTTTAGCTAAACTTGGTATTTATCAGATTCATCACAAGAAAATTGTTATGAAGTGTTTCTAGTATAACGAGTGGAAATCTAATTAAATATAATTTTTATAGAAACTTTAATAAGGACTAGTCACTATTTTATCTATAACGTTTTTTATTGTATATTTTGATATGCGTAGATTTGTTTCTTACTAGCATAATACTTGTTAAAGATAAAAACTTACACTTCACTCTATAAAAAATATTATTCAAAAATTATTAATTCTTACAAGAAATAAAAAGAAAAACTTTAAAAAAAAATTTTTTTTCTAAATACCGGTACGGGATTACAAATCTTACCTTTATACCAATTAATTTAAGCAGCCATTTGTTTAATTTAGTATGAATAACTAGTCAGTTATTATTATAAAAGTATTCTATTTATTTAGTTATTACTTCACCTACTACTTTTCTGCCATATCTCTACAATCTGCAGCAAACTTTTAAAGAAAAACTAAAATCTCCCCTCTACTATATTATAAAATGTAACATTAAATTTCAACACAGTTTTTTAGAAAATTAAATTGAATTTACTGCAGTAGTGTTTTCCTTAAAGCAATCCCTTATGCACAGTAATAAATTATAGGCTTCAATTATTGTAAACAAAAACAAAGTTAACAAATAAAGGAATTCTCTTTTTGAATAAAGTAACTTTTTTTTTGAATGCCACTACCGATAAAGATGAAGTATTGGAAGGAATTTTCAGAAGATATAATATTGATATTTTAAAGTGTGAAACCAACTTTCCATGTTACAAGTGCTATGCTACTTTAAAAAAGATAGTCTGACGAATAGTTAATGCCGTTTAACATTTCTGCTACGGGTGGTGAGTATGATATATAGATTAAAGTATCTTACTTTAATACTATGGCTAATTACTCGAGAGACTTGGCCCTAATATACTAGCTGGAGATTTTATTAGTATTTACACGTCATGGAAATAATAAGACGGAGCACATAAATTTTGTTTTTAACACTGCATTTAGTAAAAGTCTTAAAGTTTTATATACTCTGTCTTAAAGCGATAAATATATGACAGTAAACACAGCCTTAAATAGCAAGACCGTCAACAATAAAGTAATTCTTTTATACTTATCATGGGTGTACAGTTGCACGATAGGAGTTAATATGCTATACTAGCACCACTAAAAGAAAGAACGGCCTTACTAACGATGCTATTCTCTTGAGCGTTTTTGTATTCGCCACTACGTAGTCCACCTGTGGCCGCTATGACAACATGATGGTGCCTCTAAATATTTTAAAAATTTATCATAGCTATTGAAGGGAGCGGCACTAGAGTTGCAGTGCACTTCTTCGTGAAAAGAAGTGTTTTGCACTTAAACAGTTCAAAAGTTCAAACGAGTTAGTACTTTTTGTGCGCGCCTGCATAGAAGTGCGTGCCTAAGTATGGAGGAGGTCGCAGTCATTTGTCACCTTCCAATTTACTGCTCAAGAAGGCATTTCATAAGATGAACATTTTATTTAAGCAACACAGCACAAAGTTTCGGTCGTTTTTAGCGTAGCTTCTTTTAAACATCCAATTCTGTATCTAGGTAATAGTTAAACTAATCCCCTTATAGTAGAGCATTAATGAACCGCTTGAAGATTTTACAGCAAGTGAATAAACTAAGAATCTGGTTATTTATGATTTTCGTACATATAAATTGTAAGCTTTAGATATTAAGGGATAAATCCTTTAGAATTTGTATTCCGTTGTTTAATACCTCTTTTGTATTTTTTTCTTGTCTTATATTATGTGTATAGTGGCCCCCGAAGGAATTAACTTTTGTCGAAATTAGCTCAGTCTTAAAATTTCACAGTTGACATTGGCCCCTTTCTTATGAACTGATAATCAAACAAGCCTTCCTTCCCACTAAAAACCATGAATTAATTTTGTAAAACCCGACTTGAAGGATAAAAGATATAGATTAACATTTATTTGAAAATGAATACAAAGTTTTTAAATTGTAAAAATAAGTTTATAATTTTCTAGGAAGGGACTAATATTACTTTATAAATAAGGACCACAAATAGGTTAAAAATGCTTTTACATAAAAAAGTCCTGGTTATAATTATAGAAAAGTTCATTTAAGAAAGTTATTGAGTATATTAGCGAACGTTTTTCGAAAAAGGCATAAACAAAATATTTATCGATTACGAGAGTGCCGTGTAAGTACGTCAGTTGTGGCAGAATAGCTATAATAGCATCTTCCGCTTAGTTGCATAGATTAAATCCATCGTTATTAGGAACCTTACTTTCTTCTTAAGAGTTAAGACCCCTATAACTTTGTTAAGGAGGAATAGGTTTAAGGTCTATTTCAGTAAAAAACCTTTACCTGAATCCTTATAGTGCGCAAGCCAATGTTTAAGATGTCCTTGAATCAAATATGACTATTACACATTTTCTTCTATTTTAGCAATTATTTTTATAAATAATAAAGTTTGTTGTTAACTTTATCTCTATTTAGGTTGTGTCACAAAAAAAGATAGTGGTATCGATATTCAATCTCGCAAAAAATTCTAAGAGTATCCTTTTAACAGTAAAATGTCCTTGTTAAATTTACAGATATAATACTTCAATGCATTATCAACTTTTTAGATTTTGTAAGGTTTCAATAAGTTCTCTGCTGAGTTATTCATTAGCAAAAATCACGGAGTAAAAAATGTTTGACGTCATCAACCTATTTACCAAGTAACCTTTACCCCATTAACGCATTTAGGGGTAGGATATATTGTTTAAAAAGCTAACAACGCTGGTAATTAGTTAGTCTGTTGTAATATATTAGGGGAATTATAAACAACACTATTATTAGCTTGTAAATGGCTTCAGCTTTTAAAAGGGTTAAGAGATTTAGAATAAATTACTAACTTTTTAGTAAGCTTATTTTTATACAATTTAATTTAAAACAGCGTCTTCTTTTATTCAAATCTGCATAAGAGCGGGGGCATTTATAAGTTGAACGATCTAAAAGGCTTAGAAATTCAGGCAGAATTTTGAGCTTTAAAATTATTGATTCCATATGGTTGACTGCATCTTCGATACCTGGCCTTGAAGACGAAATAGAATATATATTAAGATATTGGGTCAGTAATGTTGAAAAGTTGGCCTTTGAGTTATTTTTATAGCAATTAACCTCCAGGAAAAAAAATCAAATAGCGTCCCCAGCTCGATAAGAACTGGACTATGGTCGGAGGATAACTCGTTGATAGAATTAAATGTACTTGCAGTGAGGTATACATTTAATAATGCAGCTATGTTCAATACCTCAGTGCTACCCAATGGTGTAATGTGAGTTGGTCATTGGCCTAGAATAGGAAAAATCGGATAAATCAGTTCAATTAGATAAGAGTTCCCCACATAATACTGAGCTCGATAGGCCAAAAATATTTTCTAAGTTTCTCGGGGATTTGTAAGCTAATATCACTGATACGCTGTCAATCTAATGTAATTTGTAGCTCTGAAGATTGCTTATATAGCTCCGTGTGGCTATTTCTATTAACTAATATTATAGTCTATTTTTAAACCTTTACAGAGAATATTTGCTTATCAAAGATACAGATTTTTTTTTTACCTGTAATTTAGAATTATTTATTAGAATAATTCCATTTGTTTATTTAGCTTTTATTTTGTTTTAATTGTTTGTTGTTATTTATTGAATATTTGTATACTGATTTGTGTAATTTTATTTGCTTTTAAATAAATTGAGAATCGTTTGTTAGATGTTATAGAGTTATTCCAGTATTGATTTACTGGTTAATAATTTGTGTTTGCTTGTCTTCCTGTGCACATTTTAATTTTTTGTTTTGGTTTTATTTTGTTTTCGATTGTTATATGTTGTTTATTAAATAGATATATTGTATTAATGTATATTTTTAATGGTAATAAGGCGTTGTATATTTATAAAAAAAAATTTATATTAATTGGTTAACTTTGATTAAAATTTCTATGTTAGGTAACTATGTACAATTATTTTTGTCTAAATGTTTTAAGGTATTTAATTCTAATAGTACATTTTTGATGTTGGTTTTTTTTGTGTTTTATGATTTTCATTACTTAGCACCCTCTGCGTCTTGAAATGGAAGTCGAATTTAGACGGCATTTCCATTATTAAATTATAATTAATAATAAATTTAATTTACCCCTTTGCCTCTTCTCATTTTTATGCGGCACGTAAATGCCTGACGTCAACTTTAAAACTCTGCCGACTACTCAGGGTTTGTGTACTTATCAGTGACCTTTAATGTTCTTTGGGTAGATTAGTCACCCTCCACGGCCTGTAAAGTCGAAGCTTTCACGCACAACAAATTTACTAACTTACCCTCAAGTAATGAGAATGCTACCATGCCTGCACACACAGCACTGTGATGGCGCGCTATTCTT